ATCCGCCTGCCTCTCTGCCTCTCGAGTGCTGGGATTAAAGGGGCGCACCACCACCGCTGGGCCCCTTTTAGGACCTTTTAAAACTCAGTCTTGGGGCTGGACAGATAAGTAGCTAAGTGTTTGATAGTGCCTGCTATCCTTACAGAAGACCCAAGTTTGGTTCCCAGCACCCGTACACGGCAGCTCTCAACTGCTTGTGACTCCAACTCCAAGAGATCCAACATCCTCTTCTGGCTTCCGTGGCACATGTGCATATGTGTGTGTGTGTGTGTGTGTGTGTGTGTGTGTGTGTGTACATATATATGTATATATTTGATATGACTTATATGATATCACAGTCTTAGTGAATTCCAGACTAACTTGGGCTAAACAGTGAAAAACCCTGCCTCCAAAGGAAAACAAAGTCCTTAAAGATCCACTCAGTAGTCACCATCTCTCTTCTGTGGCATCTGAGACTTTTCTTGGCACGTAGGAATCCATTTGGGGCCACTGTCTCCAAAGGCAGTTGGCCTCTTTCTGCCACAACCAGTTCAATCACGAGGGAGAACCCAGGAGTTTGTTTAGACTCAGTCTGTTCAATTGAGAGTGCAAATTTGTTTCACCCCTTCATTCCATCAGGGCCTCACCTAATAAGCACTTATTTGGACCCACTCTGTGCTTACTGCTGAGAACTCAAGAAACAACACCAACAAGGGCTAGCCCTTAAAACTTCTTATCTGGCCTGGTGGTGGTGGTGGCGCTAGCAGAGGCAGGTGGGTCTCTGTGAGTTCGAGGCCAGCCTGGTCTACAGAGTAAGTTCCAGGACAGCCAGGGCTACACAGAGAAATCTTGTCATGAAAAAATAAAACAAAACAGAACTTATCTGTCCTGATTAGCATTAACTGTGAACTTGACCTAGTCTAGAATCATCTGGTTGTGGGGAGGGGGGATAATGAATTGAATAATTTTCTTTACCATGTTGGTCTGTGGTCACAACTATGATAAGATTGTCCTCATGGTCTTTTTTTATGTGTATGAGTGTATTGGCTTGCACGTATGTCTGTGCACCATATTGGGTGCCTGGTGCATGCAGAGGTCAGAAGAAGGCATTGGATCCCCAGGAACTGGAGTTATGGGCAGTTGTAAGCCACCATGTGGGAATGGAACCTGGGTTCTCTGGAAGAGCAGCCAGTGCTCTTAACCACTGAGCCATCTCTCCAGCCCTGTCTTGATGGTCTTAGTTGATGTAGGAAGGTACCACCCATAGGCAAGTGGTCCTGGACTATATAAGAAATCTAGCTAAGCATTAGTCTGTGAGTCATGGACTGTAACCTGGAAGTAAAAGATGAAACAAACATTTTTATCCTTGTCTAAGTCCCTGTTCTGTTGCTGTGAAGAGACACCATGACCAAGGCAACTCATAAAGAAAGCGTTCACTGAGGGCTTGCTCACGGTTCTAGAGGGCTATAGGCCATGATCATCGTGGCAGGAAGCAGGCAGGCATGGCTCTGGAGTAGTAGCTAAGAACTTTACATCCTGATCTGCAGGGAGAGAGAGAGAGAGAGAGAGAGAGAGAGAGAGAGAGAGAGAGAGAGAGAGAGAGAGAGACTGGCTTGGGCTTTTGAAACCTCAAAGCCTACTTACTCCCAGTGACACACCTCTCTTCCAATATGGCCACACTTCCTCAGCCTCCTCAGTTTATCAGCTGTGGACTAAGCATGTGAAAGCTGTGAGCCTTTGGGGGCCATTCTCATTCAAACCACTACCTTCCCCTAAGTAGCTTCTGCTCAGAGTGTTTGATCACAGCAACAGAATGAAACCAGGATCTATCTAAGGCAGGTGTGGTGGTAAACATCTGGAATCCCAGCACTCAGGAGGCAGGAGGATCAGGAGTTCAAGGCCAACTACACAAAACCCTGTCTAAAATGAAGAGAGAGAGCACTTCCCGTCTACTGGCTAGCATTGAGATGAACTCTCCTCTGAGAAAGCATAGGGTACTGCACTGCAGGCCGCCCAGGGGAGCCCTCTGACACAGAGTGGCAGGGCTGCGTTTTAGAGAGAGTAACTCAGGAATTGAAATCTGAAGGCTGCTTAGAAGTGAGTCCCATGACATGGAGAAGCAGGGTTTGTAAAAGCAGGAGAAAGGCTCCAAGCATGAGAGAGCCTGTGGCCTGTGGAAGTAGCCCAGGTGAGTTCTGATTTACTAAAGAGATGGATGACAACACCAGGCACTGAACAGGACAGAGTCACAAGGGGCTCATCCACCTTGTTGAGAAGGTGGCAAGAGGCCAGGCGGTGGTGGCGGCGGCGGCGGCGGCGGCGGCGGCGGCGGCAGCGGCGGCGGCGGCGGCGGCGGCGGGGCGGCGCACGCCTTTAATCCCAGCACTTGGGAGGCAGAGCCAGGCGGATCTCTGTGAGTTCAAGGCCAGCCTGGTCTACAGAGCGAGTTCCAGGACAGCCAGGGCTACACAGAGAGACCCAATCTGGAAACAAACAAACAAATAAAAGCAGAGTGACGGAGGCAGAGGCTGGCTCACAGTCGCTGGGTGAGGAGACAGGAAGAGCCTGTGCTGCAGTAAATGGAGGAAGTCAATCAGGAAGTCTGAGGTGGAGGTCTGTGGAGACTAGCAGGCAGGGGAAGCAGGCATGCAGTGGAGATTAATAATTATTTTTAACAGTGAAAGACATGTAAACATTTTAGAGCTGATGGGAAAAAGTCGTTTATGTGAGAGGCAGAGGTCAGGCCCCACAAAATAAACAGAGGAAGGGAGGAAAGGAGGGAGGAAAGGAGGGAGGGAAGGAGGGAGGGAAGGAGGGAGAAAGGGTTTAGCCCGGAGAGGGAGGGGTGCACCCCCTACTTGAAAGGGAAAGGGAATGGTTGCCAGTGCAGGTAAGTTCCTACCACATCTCACCTGACTCTCTTTCTCTTTGAAAGTGGAGGGGGTGCTCTGCTGAGGGAGGGAAGCAGCGGAGTTGGAGGAGAACCAGACACCAGAAACAAAGTCACCAGTTAAAGCTAGGGAGCCAGAACTGTATCTGTCCCCAACCTGTTTTTCTTCTTTTTTCCCCTAAAGCTCGGCCACCAGCAGTGCCAAATGTGGGGAGCATCCCGGTCCCCCACACCCAACTGAAATGAAAGACGCTCGGGCCCTTTCTTATTGCTCCTCTGCCGTGGATCACCTGCCTGACATTCTTGCTGTCCCCCCACTAGCTCCTGTTCTAGGGAGGAACCTAAGGCTCAAAAGACTCTGCACAGCACTTTCTATTGTCCTATGACGTCACTTCCGTCCTCACAGCATAGAGAGGACACACAGCTGCACTCCTGCAGACCCTAAGGTCAATGGCCAACGGAGGATTTGCTCCCAGCCTATCTGACTCCAAAGGCCATTACTCTAGCCTAGAAACTCCCAAGAAGCAAGCAGTGTTTGGACTCATCATTCTGTCCCTTGAGGAAATCCAGCTAGCACTTTGCACAAGGAAGATGCTTGATGGATAGTATTGATTTGAACTATGACCTGTCACCCTGAACATCTTTAGTATTCTGGCATTTTAGGTAGTGTTCCACCTTCTCTGAAGAAGCCATAGCATTCAATTGGTTAAAAGGGAGGGGTCTAGAAAGATGGCTCCGCACCTAACAGCTTATACCACTCTTCCAGAGGACCTGAGTTCAATTCCCAGCACCTGTATCAAGTGGCTCACCAACCACTCCACAACTCCACTCACAAATCCAGCTCTAGGGACATCTGACTCCTCTGCCCTCCAAGGGCACCTGTATACATAAACACACACACACACACACACACACACACACACACACACACACACAATTAAAAATAATAAAAATCAATTATTTTTTAAAAAAGAAAAGTAAGATGTGGTGGTTCAAAGATGTGGTGCCCTTAAATCCACACTTGGGAGGCAGAGGCAGGAAGATCACTGAGATTTTGACACCAGCCTGGTCTATGTAGTGAGCTCCAGGTCAGCCAGGGCTACATGGTAAGACCCTGTCTCAAAAAGCAAGAACAACCAAGCAGTGGTGGCGCACGCCTTTAATCCCAGCACTCAGGAAGCAGAGGCAAATGGATCTCTGTGAGTTCAAGGCCAGCCTGGGCTACAGAGTGAGTTCCAGGGCAGGCTCCAAAGCTACACAGAGGAACCCTGTCTCGAAAAACCAAAAAAAAAAAAAACCAAGAACAAAAAAGTTTTTCGTTTTTTTTTTTTTTTTTTAAATTAAAAAAAGCTTTTGGTGTGGTAGTATGTACCTACAATTCTAGCCCTCAGGAGTCTGAGGCAGGAGGATCAAAAGTTAAAGGCCAACCTGAACTGCAGATCGAATCCCCTACCTTCAGAAAAATAAAAAGCTGTTAGGGGCTGGAGAGATGGTTCTGTGGTTAAGAGCACCTACTGCTCTTGCAGAGGACCTAGGTCTGGTTCCCAGCACCCATGTCAGGCAGCACACAACTGTCTTTAAGTCCAGCTCCAGAGGATCCAATGCCCTCTGGTGGCCGCCACAGGCACACAAACACACAGGCACACAAACACACAGGCACACAAACACACATGCACACACACATGCACACAAACACACAGGCACACAGACACACAGGCACACAGACACACAGGCACACAGACACACATGCACACAAACATATGCACCCACACACACATGCACACAAACACACAGGCACACAAACACAAATGCACACAAACACACAGGCACACAAACACACAAGCACACACATACATGTAATTAAAAACAAATTTTTTAAAGCTGTTAGGTTCAGCGACAGCATCGGATATGCAAATCTGCTCCATCCCTCTGTAGACTGGGTGACAGCAAAATTAGCTCACTCACTTTTCTCCTCTAGATGACTTCGTTAAATATAATAATCCTACGAAGGGTGTTCGCAGCCCATTCTGGCAGCCAGCAAAGAAACCAGCCACGGACTCCTCCCCACCATCACTGTGTGAAGTCTATAGACATGTTTCTCCAATACCACCATCTTCTTTTCCCTTTGCAGGAGTACAACATGTACGGCTGGTGGGTAGGAGAGCTGAACAGCCTCATTGGGATCGTTCCGAAGGACTACCTCACCACCGCCTTTGAAACGGAAGAACCATGAAGCCCAGGTATCAGCACCGTCATCAGTGAGCTGCCCTTAGCCGAGGGGCATTTGTCAGCCATGACGTCACTTCTCTGTGATGTCATCAATGAAGTAGCTTTTTCCTCCCTTTCCAAAAACGACGTTAGTGATTCAAATGAAAGGGGGTGGATGTGAACATATTTCATTGTATATATGTATGATATTCTCAAAGATTAAAACATAATAAGTAAATAACGTTAAGAAGGAAATGAAAAAAAAAGAAAACAAGTAGGTTAGAGATGTAGCGCAGTTGGTAGGCGCATATCTAGCATGCTTGAGGCCTACCCTCATCCCTAGCACCACATTAAACTGGACATGCTGGTACACACCCATAACCCAGGCACTTGGGAGGAAGAGGCAAAAGGATCAGAAGTTCAAGGTCATCCTCAGCTACATAGCAAATTCTAAGTCAACCTGGGCTACATGAGACCCAGGGTGCGAGGAAGCGTGTGAAAGTATGTTTCCCTAAGTCTGGGGACTATGTCACTTGGCACTGGACTCAACTAAAAGTGGCAGAAAATTTAAAATAACAATGGCTTGATTAACAGAAAATAATGTTGCTCCACTGCCTAATCTAGGAGTCAGAGGCACGCAGGTTCTCAGTAGTTCCCCTTCGTGCCCCACTGTGTATGACCAGGATTTCCCAGGTTGGCCGAGATGGATGCTTCAGCTCCAGCTCCTGTGTCTCCATCCTAGTCAGCGGGAAAGATAAAAGACAGCAGCAGGGTGCACCCTCTGACTCCCAGGACACTTCTGGAGCTTTGTACACAGCACTTCTGCCCACAGACTGCCAGCATAGTCTGTCCATAAAAATGAAGCAGAGAAGGCTGGAGAGCCAGCTCAGTGGTTCAGAGCATGTACTGCTCTTTCAGAGGACCTGAATTTGAATCCCAGCACTCATCTTTAGTGTCCTAGCACATTGGTTGGTACACAACTGTCTCTAAAAAGGCCATACCATTCTATTTGATTTAAAAGGGAGGGGGTAAGACCATAGAGATAGCCCAGCATTTAAGAGTACTGATTATTCTTCCAGAGGACCAGAGTTCCATTCCCAGTACCCACGTGGCAGCTTACAACTCCAGTTCCAGGGGATTTAATGCCCTGTTCTGGCTTCTGTGGGTATTGCATGCACATGGTGCACAGCCACACATACAGGCGAAACACCCATAAACATAAAATTAATTCTTAAAGTAGGAAAGGCCTGGCCGGGCGGTGGTGGCGCACGCCTTTAATCCCAGCACTCAGGAGGCAAAGCCAAGCAGAACTCTGTGAGTTCGAGGCCAGCCTGGTGTACAGAGTGAGATCCAGGACAGGCTCCAAAACTACACAGAGAAATCCTGTCTTGAAAAAACAAGCAAACAAACAAACAAACAAAAAAGTTGGAAAGGCCTGGTGGTAGTGGCATACACTAACTCCAGCACTCTGGAGGCAGAGGCAGGTGGATCTCTGTGAGTTCGAGGCCAGCCTGGTCTACAGTACAGAGTGAATTCCAGAACAGTCAGGGCTGTAAAGAGAAACCCCATCTCAAAAAAATTTAAAGAAGTTGGAAAGCAATTGAGGGAAAACAGCAAACATTGACCTCTGGCCTCCACGTGCATACACACATGTGCATGAGTACCAGCACATACATGTGCACACACCTACACTCACATGTACATACACACTACACACCACACCCACAAATTTTTCCATCTTTTATGAGGATTCCTAGGAATATAATCAAATTAACTTTTAACAGTTACTTGGGAGGCTGAGGCAGGAGGGTCTTGAGTTCAAGACTAGCCTGGGATACATATCAAGACCCATTATATATATATATATATATATATATATATATATATATATATATATATATATATATATAAAGCTTTAGGAGCAAAGACATCAATCATGCTGGGGTGGGTTTTGATTTTTTGATGGTGTGTGTATTTGTGTTACTGGGAATTGAATCCAGGACTTCCTGTACAGTAGTCAAGTGCTCTGTCATTGAACGAGCCCCCATGTGATGTTCTAAAGTATCAGGAATGCTTGGCTTGGGTAGGGTAGTAACGGGAGCCACTTTGATGGTCAGTGGGTCTAGAATTTAGAATGGTAAAGGAGGGCCGTCAAGACTAGCCTGATGTCGCTAGCTCCACCTTCTGGCCAAAAATGGGATCAGCCTTTATTGCAGGGTGTGAAAGACACAACTGGTGTGATCGTGAGACAACTGTCTGCAGTCTTCCCAACGGTGGGAGGCCAGCTCCCACTTTTTCCTAGGGTACTCTTGAGGAGAGAGGGATAAGAAATATTCAGATAGAAAGATAGTGTGGAGAAGACAGACAGAAACACAGGATCGCTTCGGGAGGCGCTGGATCAATATCCATCGTCCTCTTCTGTCTCTTCAAAAGGGCTTTTTTTTTTTTTTTTTTTTTTTTGGTTTTTCAAGACAGGGTTTCTTTGTGTAGCTTTGCGCCTTTCCTGGAACTCACTCTGTAGCCCAGGCTGGCCTCGAACTCACAGAGATCCGCCAGCCTCTGCCTCCCGAGTGCTGGGATTAAAGGCGCGCGCCACCACCGCCCGGCTCAAAAGGGCTTTTTATAGGAGTGCCAAGGGGCAGGGCAAAAGACCTCCCTGCACATCCAAGTGCAGACCCTTCCAATCACCTGGTAACCACGCACATGGTCAAGCCATCCTCTAATGCAGCCCTGCTGAGTAAAGCAAATTCAGATCTCACTAGGAAACCTCTGTGGGCCCCCACACCCAACCAGGCCCCTCTCCAGCATGCAGCAGCTGAGTGAATTCCCTCAGGAACACACATAAGCTAGACCTTGCTCTCCAGGGCTCTTGTGTAATTCTAAAGCCCCTGCCTGGGCCTGCTGCTCCAGGTTTGACTTTACAGCTTCCCTAAGGAGGGCTCTGGTTACCGGCCATGGGTGCAGAAGGGTTGGGATTTTTCTGCCAAATCTGAACTAATTCACTCTATTTTACTTTGTCATTTATTAAAGTGTGGCTCTTCATTCCCTTTAGCCCGCTAGGACTCGTAGGAATTTATCCCACCACTGTCCTGGCACACATGACACCGGGGACGAACACAAGCATAGGTCTGTGTATAGGAAAGGGTTGGAGACGAACCAAATGTCCAAGTGTACGAGGCCAGAAGCTGTAGGGCATTCGTGGGTCTGAATACTCCACATCGGTAAACACAAAGGGATGCTGTTACAAAATAAGTTTCTAGATATATTGGTAAGCACAAAAAGCAGCAATGAAGGGCAGGCCGACCATGCATGCCTCCTTGTAGAAAAGGGAGTGGAGAGCTGATGTTTGTGGAGCATGCCTGGAATCCCAGAACTCAGGAGGATTTCCAAGGGTTCTAAACCAGCCTGGGATATGGATTGAGTAACAGGGCAGCTGGGTTACAGAGTGGGACCCTATCTCAAAAGACCATGCAGAATAGACTTACATCACTATTTGTTTATGTGTGTGTGCAATACTTCTGGAAGGAGAAGGAACAGTGATATCAGTTATCTCCAACAACAGAAAAACTACATGATTAAGAGACAAGGTAATAGGAAAAATTTTACTCCCATTCGTAATTCTATCTTTTAAATTTTTGTTTTTGTTATTTTTTTAATTATGGGGGTTGTAGACGTGAGTGTAGGTACCCAGGGAGGCCAGAAGAGGGCACTGGATCCCATGAAACTGGAGTGGTGGACGACTGTAAGCCACCACGTGAGTGCTAGGAACCAAACCCGGGTCTTCTGCAAGACCAGAACATGCTCTTGACTACTAAGTCATCTCTCCAGACTTCTCTCCACCACCATTTTTCGAGACATCATCTTATAAGCTGGCCTCAAATTTGCTCTATAACTGAGGATGACATTGACTTCTGCTCCTCCCACCTCTACTCCTGAGTACTGGGCTGACAGCCGTGCACTTCCATACCCTGTTCATATTGTGCTGGTGGCTGAATCCAGGACTTCTTGTGTACTAGGCAAGCATGCTACCAGCAGAGCTGCACCCTACCCATACTTCTATATCCTGATTGTAAAAGAAAACGTATGTTTTCCATCCTTTAGGGAACATAGTCTTCTCTCTATCCTGCCTTCATGAAGAAACATACCATCCATCAAGAATTCCCATCTTCTCCTCTGGCCATGGATTCTTCTCTTTGCTGAACAGACTCCAAACTCTGCTACTTCATGTGACTTTAAACCACTAATAAAACATGGAAGAAGAGAACAGCTCCTCAGATCTGTGCCTGAAGCAGCTGGTTCCTAGCTTATTGCCCTTTGGAAGCCATGTCCACACACCCACATCTACCTTTTCTACACGCTTGCTACAAAGAAGGCAACCAGTACAGAAATCCTGGGAGGAGGGAGTTACTGGTGGCTTGCAAAGCACAAATAAAGTTTGGATGTGTTTCTTTCCATGGGTGAGGGGGCTGAATTCCTTTCTGGCACAGTATCAAGGGGTGGCAAGATGGCCCTGTGGGTAAGGACACCTGCTGCCTGAGTTCAGTCCCCAGGACTCACATGACGGAAGGAGAGAACCCACTCCCACAGGTTGTCTTCTGACCACCACACGTGTACCATGGCACATGTATACCCACACACGTGAATAGATAAGGAGTAAATGTTAAGAAATTGTTTTAACTTTAATCCCAACAGTCGGGAGGCAGAGGCAGGTGGATCTTAGTGAGTTCAATGCCAACCTGGTCCAGGACAGCCAGAACTATTACATGGAGAAACCCTGTCTTAAAACACACACACACAAACACACGCACGCACGCACGCACGGGCTGGAGAGAGCCGGGTGGTGGTGGCACACACCTTTAATCACAGCACTTGGGAAGCAGAGGCAGGCGGATCTCTATGAGTTCGAGCCTGGGCTACAGAGTGAGTTCCAGGAAAGACACAAAGCTACACAGAGAAACCTTGTCTCGAAAAACCAAAAAAAAAAAAAAAAAGGCTGGGGAGGACCCGGGTTCAATTCCCAGCACCCACATGGCAGCTCACAACTGTCTATAACTCCAGTTCTAGGGGATCTGACACCCTCACACAGACATATATGCAGGCAAAACACCAATGCACATAAAATCAATAAATCTTTAAAAAGAAAAAACACAAAAAATAACGAAATTGTTTTGTTTTTCATTTTTATTTATTTATTTTTCTATTATCAGCTTGATACAGTACAAATTATTATCCTAATAGTGAAATGTTTCACTGAGGCTTGCCCAGTGGATCGTTTTGTTTTTATTCATTTATTTTTTTTTTTATGTGTATTGGTGTTTTGCCATGGATGTCAGGTCTGGAACTGGAATTACAGATAGTTGTGAGCTGCCGTGTGGGTGCTAGGAATCAAACCTAGGTCCTCTGGAAGAGCAGTCAGTGCTCTTAACCACTGAGCCATCTCCAGCCCAAAAAAAATTTTTTTGTTTTTGTTTTTGTTTTTTCAAGACAGGGTTTCTCTGTGTAGCTTTGCGCCTTTCCTGGAACTCGCTTTGGAGACCAGGCTGGCCTCGAACTCGTAGAGATCCACCTGCCTCTGCCTCCCAAGTGCCAGGATTAAAGGCATGCGCTACCACCGCCCGGCCCAAAAATTGTTTTAATTCTATCAAAATGTCACCGCTGGGCATTCTTACCATCTGCAAAGTGGGTAGGGACACTCACAGAGAAAAGCCTAGCCAGGGAAGGAGGTTTGCGGTTGTCTTTCTGGACAATCATCTCTGGAATCCAGACTGCTAGTGTCTGGCCAGTTCCTCAGACTTCCTTTGATTGGTTACTTGGTTGCTTTTTCTGACGTGATGAATCTCTGAGACAGAGACGGAACCAAGGCCTGGGAATCAGCACATTGGAGAGCGCCTCTGTGGGCACTGTGGCCTGCTGTGTATGGAGTCCCAGACAGGCCGAGGAAGCCATTTCTCAGGGGCTCTCTAATCCAGGGCTCTGCTCCCTTGCCAGGTGCCCACACACAGTTCTGCACATTGGAGAGGTTGGGAGCAGAAACCCCGGGACCAGACAACCTGGGAGTACATCTTTCCCTCTTGTGGTCTCTTGGCATCCGGTGCCTCTGTTTCTTCTGTGAAGAACGGGGTGTGCTCTTCCTCAGCAGGTCACTGGGTAATTAGAAAGACAAAAGGATTTGTCAAGTCCTGTGTACTTGGAGACGTACCTGGCCCACGGTAACTGCTCAGTAAGGACTAGCCCTTATTGCCAAACTATGTGAGAAATTTTGCAAGACAGGCACCTGAGCAGCTATAGGAATTTTATACTCCAAACGGCCTCTTCAGAGCAGCCCTGGATTGGCAGAAGACAGCCTTACCTCTGTCAGGGCCATACCGTAAGCAAATTCTCATCTCACATCGCCACGGGCGAGAAAGAAACCAGACAGCACGCAAGGATGTCGGGAGATTCCAAGTTTTTCAAAGTGGAAAAAAAAATCTCATGGTAATTACTCATTTCCAGACCCAGAAATAAAGAATGGAAACAATTCTTTGTATGACGGATAGAGAGGTGAGAAAACTAGGTCTGAGGTGGGGGGTGTAGATAGAGAAGTAGCCGGAACATCCCCCTATTACCCAGGGTGCTGGAGGGGAGGGAACCACTAGGTGGCAGCATATGAGCAGGTGAACCGGAGAGAACCAATTGCCTCCTGCTTTAGGAACTCCTTTGCACCAATCCCAACCCATAGGTAAGAACAATGGGCATTGTTCAGTGTTGAACACAAAACCCTTCTGTGCCTACCCATCCTTCCTGGGAAGGCCCCGCCCTCAAGTCCTCAAGAACATGACTGTGTGACTACCCTGATTCAGACACCAGGAAGGGGGGGTCCCAGAGGAGAAAGAGCAAGCATCTGGGGCAGGGTGGGAAGGGGGTTGAAAAATGCTCTTAACAGCACCGCCATTGCTTCCAGCATTTAAAACAATCCCTTGGTAAAGTGATCCCTTCTGCACCTGTAGACCTAAAGAAACCGTCCTTTGCCAAACTGCAAATGTCTCCCGAACTTCTGTGCACCACAGAGAAAGCACCATACTCAGACCTCTGACCTTTTTAGCAGTAAAATTTAGCAGAGAGAGAGAGAGAGAGAGAGAGAGAGAGAGAGAGAGAGAGAGAGAGAGAGAGAGATTATCCCTAAAAGACATACACAAAGAGGCAACCTGGAAATCTGTCCTCAGCAAGGAATAGTACACACACCAAGAATCCCAGCACTCTGGAGGCAGAGGCAGGAGGATCATCCTGGTCTTCAAGGCGAGTTTTGGGCCAATCAGGGCTACACAGCCAGACCCTATCTAGAGGGGAGAAAAATTTACTTAGGAATTGTTCTGACCCTGTTATATTGAGAAAAGGCAAAGTGGGTATGGGGATTTGATGATTCTATCCACACTCACGCTGAAGGGCATTCCCTGTTGGGACCAAGTTCTAAATGAGACTCTGATTGTTTTGGGGGGTTTGTTTTGTTTTCTGGGGAGTCATTGCTTTGTTTCTGTGGGTTTTTTCCAGAGAAAACAGATTTCTTAAGGAAAAGTGGGGACACTCTCAAAAGTAAGAAGGAGATCCTTGGGAGGAACATGTTCCTCCAGCTGGTTAAAAACTAAACCTCACACAACAGACTACTCCATTAACAGCCAAGGTCTCAGCCAACAACCTCAGATGGCAGCTGCCTAATCAGATTTCTGTTTCTGTTTGGTTTGCACTAACCCACCCCCACCTCGCTGCCTGCCACTAACTAGACGACTGGGACCTTAGGCCACTGAACTAGTGGCCTTACACAGAGGGCGGCTTCTTTTTTTTGTTTTGTTTTGTTTTTTTCATTTTTCACTTTTTCAAATTAATCAATTTATCCACCTTTCTATTATTAGCTTGATACAGTATGTATTCCCATCTTAATTGTGAAATGTTTCATTGAGGCTTGCTCAGTAATTGAGTAAAACCAAAACTTATAAGTCACAGTGAGGACGGCTTCTTAATGGCACCAGTTGTTGTGGTGAGTGAAACGTAGAGGAACAGAAGTGAAAGATGTTTTCCTTCCTTGACTTTAAGAAAAATCAGTGGGGCAGTGGTGGCTCACGCCTTTAATCCCAACACTCAGGAGGCAGAGGCAGGCGGATCACTGTGAGTTCATGGCCAGCCAGGCCTACAAGGAGAGTTCCAGGACAGCCAGGGCTGTTACACAGAGAAGCCCTGTCTTAACAAGCAAAAAAAAAAAACCTCCTCAGATGCCAGGGGCATTGATCAACGCTTTCATCTTTAGCCACAAAACAACAACAAAATAACCAAAAACAGCCCCATCCCAGTGGTGTGTAGTCCTCCGCCCCTGCCCCGGGCTGCTCCCCTGCCCCGGGCTGCTCCCCTGCCCCGAGCTGCTCCCCTGCCCCGAGCTGCTCCCCTGCCCCAAGCTGCTCCCCTGCCCCGAGCTGCTCCCCTGCCCCAAGCTGCCAGGAGCAGTTCTGGAAGGATGAATCTTGAGTGGCACAGATTTGTTAACTCCAAGAGCAGCAGCAAAATCTAGGGGCTGACTTCAGGAAAAGCGGCCTCTACTTAGAGGTTCGCCATGCTGAGCCCAGCGCACAGCCCAGTGACTCACTCATTTGCTAGTGTATAGATTATCACGCCTCGCTCCCTCCACCCAGCCATTGAGGTTCCCAGTGGAATTTGCAAAGATTGGGCAGGGAGTCTAAAACTCACAACTAAAAGAGAGATTTCTCTTTTTCAAGGGATTTGAATTATTGCCCCACTTCCCTATCCAAAACTGGTGGGGAAACATGCTGTTAGGAATTGATAGCCATTCTCTGAGATTGAAACAATGACTCTTTTTAATCTTAAAATTGCATTTATTGGGGGAAGGGCATGGGGTCACAGAGCATGTGTGGAGGTCAGAGAACACTTTACTGGCCCACCATGTGGACCGTGAGACTTGAACTCAGCTGGATAGGTGAAGGTACTCCAAGTATCTCACTGATCCTGAGTTTTAAGCCATATCCCTCTTGGTACAACTTTTTTTTTTTTTTTTTTGGTTTTTCGAGACAGGGTTTCTCTGTGTAGCTTTGCGTCTTTCCTGGGACTCACTTGGTAGTCCAGGCTGGCCTAGAACTCACAGAGATCCGCCTGGCTCTGCCTCCCAAGTGCTGGGATTAAAGGTGTGCGCCACCACCGCCCGGCTTGGTACAACTTTTTAAAAAATAAATATAATGGAGGAAAACATTGCTAGGGGAAACAGGTACAATAGAGTGGCCTTATATTTTCATAATCGA